TGTGTGTGTGTGTGTGTTTGATTTTCAAGACAGGGTTTCTCTGTGTAGCCCCCGTGTGTCTGGGAACTTGCTCTGTAGCCCAGGCTGGCCTCGAACTCAGGGGTCTGCCTGCCTCTGCCTCCCGAGTGCTGGGAGTAAAGGCGTGCGCCACCACCCAGCTCCACCTTGTTTTTGAGACAGGGTCACTCATTGTACCTGAAGCTTGCCGTCTTGGATATTCCGGCTGGCCAGGAAGCAGCTAGGATCCTCTTCCATCCTTCCTGCCCCCACACATAATACTGTCTGGGGTGCAGGAATAAGTTCATCTTCTCACTTCTTAAAGGAGAGTTTGAAAGGCAAGCAAAGCCCGAGTTTATTCCAAGTGTTATTTCGTTAGAGTTTAAAGAGAACGGGCAGGGCAGGCAGCAGTCAGCCTTGGCAGCTGGGGTGTGGGGAGCAATGCCCTTTGAGTTAAGTGGGCATGGTGGGGAGGGGAACTCCAGGAAGAGGCACCGTACTCAGGTTCTGGCCAGCCTCTGAAAGAGAAGGGGAAAGGAAAAGTTGAACTTTTGTCACAAAGCTGGATAGGCGCAATAGACTCTCACAGTGGCGAGGGATGGGGATTATGGGAAGGGGAAGTATGGCACCTAATTAAAGGGGTAATCATTCTGCCCGTCTCTTTAGGGTGGTGTAAGGTGAGCCTGTCTGCCTAGCATGGTGCCTTGTTGGGGTGACTGACTACCCGACTGGGTAACTCCTGGATGTTTTTTGGTAGCTTCCCATATTAGGTCTCTGCCCAGGCCAGAGATTTCACAGTCTTGACCAGAAGGAACCAGTTTTCCCTTTGTGGACCTTTACTCTTACTGTGTCATTACCCCTCGAAGGAGGTAACCCTAAAATCATTTGGGAGAGGGGCTCACACTGGGGAGCGGATAACCCATTTCCCTAGAGAAGCTGAGAGCTCTGCTCCAGTGCTGACCAGAGGGGCCATTATTGTCTGGTCCAGCATTCTGGTCCCCACCCTGGTGTACAGCTCCAGGCAGGGCTCTTGGCTTCTGAGGAGATGAGGAGCCGGCGCTTTCCTGCCAGCGTTCCTGGCCGGAGACCCAAGGACGTTTCTGGAACGTTTGCTTTTGAGTCCCTGCCCTGAGCTGCCTGTGCAGCGTCTGGCTTCTGTTTCTCACCGCACACAGGTGTCATCGGCATCTGGGGCCAGGCCCAGCTTCCAGTGTGAGTGCTCCAGACTTGACCTTGCTTTACGCAGCAAGTACTTTTACCCGCTGTCTCCAGAGATCCTTTGAGTAGGCTTTTAATTGTTATAGTATTGTTTTTGTTTTTCAACCCCTCCCCTGATTTAAAAACAACAACAACAACAACAACAACAACAACAACAACAAAACTCCTGGTGCTTTCCAGTGTAACTTCCAACCACAGCTCTGAAAGAGCCCGGAGCTCCATACTGTTGCCTCAGTTTACCTATTCTTCATCTTGTTCTGATGTGGGCCAAAAAGGTTTCTTTTTGTAGGTCATGTTGACCTCAAACTTGCCCACCGCACCCAAGGGCTAGTTTGATAGGTGTGTGCGTGCGTGCGTGCGTGCGTGCGTGCGTGCGTGCGCGCGCGCGCCACCCACCCAGCCACCCCTCCTCAGCTCTAACCACCCATCTAAACTCCGGCCTTCTGCCCTGCCCTGCTTTCTTCGTAATGTGTGTGTTGTTTTTCTCAGTCCTCTCCCCACCCAAGAATAATAAGGTCCTAAGGTTGAGAGTCTTGTCTGCTTGTCATTATGTTCTCGTCTCCTAAATAGCCGGTGATTCTTGCCCCGGGAGACATTGGAGCGTGTCTGTCTGGAGACATTTCTGAGTGTCAGAGCCTGGAAGGGCTGGCAGCTTGTAGGTAAAGGGCAAACATCTTCCACGTGCAGGGCAGTGCTCTGCAGCATAGACATACTGACCCTCAGCCAGGAGAGGCCGAGCGTGCCCGACCGACCCAAGGCGACACGCAGTTGATGTCAATGGGTGGAACAAATCAGCGGGTCGCTCATGTGGTGAGTGAAGTAGTGGACTTACGTATCATAGTGATTTACTCCAGCCCCGCACACAGTTTGCTTGATAGCTGAACCAAAACTCTCTTCAGTAAATTTCATGACTGAGAAGAATGTTCTCTCGTGGGCACCATGGTGCCTGCCTGTGGTCCCAGCACTTAGGAGCTGGAGGCGGAGGGACCACGAGATCAAGGTCACCCTCTGCTGTGCAGCGGAGTTTGCGATCAGCCCGTGCAACTTGCGACCCTGTCTCAGTAAGAAAAACCGGAAATGAAATGAAACAGAGAGGGAAAAAGTTAGTTCCGGGCCGGCGGTTTACACCTGTGATCCCAGCCTCCAGGAGCCTCAAGTCAAAGGCCAACCAGAACCACAGAGCTCCCCAAGACGGTCTCCAACAACAAAAATGGGCTGGAGAGATGGCTCAGCACTGAAGAGCCCACACTGCTCCTGCAGAGGACCCAGGTTCAGTTCCACATGGTGGCTCACACTGTACTCCAGTTCCGCAGGATCTGATGCTCTGTGCTGGCCTCCTCTGGCTCCTGCATGCTGTGGTCTACATTAATTCATCTCAGGCAGGCAGGCAGGCACGCACGCACGCACACACACACACACACACACACACACACACACACACACACACACACGATAAATAAATATTTCCTAAAGCCATATTGAAAAAACAAACAAACAAACCACAAACACCATCACCACCACCACCCCAAGAAAGAAAGAAAGAAAGAAAGAAAGAAAGAAAGAAAGAAAGAAAGAAAGAAAGAGAGAGAGAGAAAGAGAGAAAGAGAGAAAGAGAGAAAGAGAGAAAGAGAGAGAAAGAGGAATCCTAGGAAAAACAGATGCAGTTTCCAATTAGAACAGGGAATACTGTGTGATCTGTCGATCCCGTCTGAATAACAGTAGTTCCTGGTATATGAGGGGGTGCTTGCTTGCCTTCTTTGTCCACAGAATATTCTCCCAAGGAGACTGCTCATTGTGTGCAGGGGAAAGAGGCCTCCAGCCTGTCACGAGGCTGCTTGCTGGGCCCAGGTGAAGTGCTCTTCCGTCTCCAGTAGATGAACTACAATGCCTGCTAAACAGTCCACACGGAGCCATTTGATCAGGCCCTGGGATGAAGGAATTAGAACTGTCTGGAGACATCCTGGTTTCCTTTCCTCTCTGTTCCCACAACCGATCCATGAACTGACCCCACAGATGCACTGTCAGAGCCGCAGGACATGCTGCTCCGGCTCCTCCTGGGTGTCCCCTGCTCTCGTCCCCCGCCTGGCCTTTGTGCCTCCGCCGCCCACACACCAGGCCAGAGCGGTGTGTGGTTTTTCCATCTTTTACTCAGAATGGGCTCACAGATTCTGATGTGGCTTGGAAGGCAGGCCCCGCGTGATCGTACCTCAGTTAGCAGTCTTTCCTCTGTCTGTGTCTTCCGTGTCATGTCAACGCCGCTGTCACTGAGGGTACGCCACCTGCTCCCCATCACTCCTGCTCCTCAGTCCCTCCCTCATCGCCTGGGTCTGTACAGCTCTCTAATCTGTTGAGCTTCTGCCCAGATGTGCTTCGCCAAAGAGGCTTCCCTGACTTCTTAACGTAAAGAGACCCCTTTCTCCTTGTGGCATTTAGCAGCTCTGAAGATTACATCTGTTATCATAAGATTACATTTCTGCACATATTTAATATCTATGCACATATACCTTATGTATATATGAAGTCTGTTTTAGTCTGTGTTTTACTGGAGTATGAGCTCCATGCATGCGAGATTCTATTTGCTGACTGCTCTGTCTGTAGACCCTGGAGTCTGCTGTCCACATGATGGGCACACAGCATACAGTTACTGAATGAGCAGGCAAGTGAGAAGTGAGAGATGATTCCTTATGCCCCATCACGGTCATCTTGGGTTCTTGCACTACAAGAAACCTAAGTGAAAACCCTCTGTATTTGCTTCTGAGGATCTTTATGAAAGTCCCCTACTGTTCCATTTCACTTCTGTAAGATATCTTAACAAAAAGCAACTTAGGGGAGAGAGCGGGTTTATTTGGCCCACAATTCCAGATTGTAGTCTGTTTTAGGATTTCTATTACTGGGATAAAATACCATGACCAAAGCAATTTAGCGAGGAAAGACCTTGTTTTAGCTTCCAACTCCCAGGTCATGCTCCATCACTGAGGGATGCGAGGACAGGAACTCGAGGGAGGAACCTGGAGGCAGGAGCTGATGCAGAAGCCATGGAGGAGTGCTGCTTACTGGCTTGCTCCTCATAGCTTGCTCGGCCTGCTTATACACCCAGGAGAAGCAGACCAGGGGTAGCCCTGCGCCCAATGGGCTGGGTCCTCCCATATCAATCACTAATTAAGAAAATGTCCCACTGGATGCCCAACAGATCAGTTTTATGGAAGAGTGTTCTCAACTGTGGTTCCCTCTTCTCAGATTATTCACATTGACAAAAGAAGAACCAACCAGGACAGGGGCCGCCATCGGCCATCGCAGAGAATTGACATGGGCAGGGGCCTCAAAGCAGCTAGTCATGTCATCCCACAGTGAAGTGCAGAGGGAAATAAATGCAGCCATGCTCTCAGCTGGCTTCCTGCTGAGTTACACCATCAGGACTCCTTTCTTAGGGAACAGTGTTCCCCATTGGTGGTCTGGGTCTACATAAACTAACAATCAAGGGGATCCCTCTCATAGGCCAGCCTGATCTACAAACTCTTCATGGAGACTCTCTTCCCAGGTGAGTGCAGGGTGGGTCAAGTTGAAAGTTTAAAACGAAGTAGTGCACCTATTCAGAAATGCTGTTGAGAATCAGTCCATACTGCTCCCGGGTTCTTACGTAGCTCCTCATGAAAATAGGGTGTCTTGTTTTGGAAACGGCAGCAGTAGTGAGCACAGGACTGCCGTTCCTGTGGCTTGTCCCTGGAAGCGTCTGTCACACCTCACAAGTGTGTCTTCTCGTTACAGGCGCATGCCAAGTCTCCTGGAGTATGTAAGTTATACCTGCAACTTCATGGGTATCCTGGCAGGCCCTCTCTGCTCTTACAAAGACTACATTACTTTCATTGAAGGCAGGCCATCTCACATGTCACAGGCCAGTGAAAATGGAAAAGAAGAGCAGAATCATGAAAGAGCAGATCCGTCTCCAAACGTAAGGGCCCGAGATTCACCCGGAGCGCTGTGCTTGTCTGTCTGGGTCTCTGAAACAGTCTAATGCCTTCACTTGTTGTAATTTCCCCATTGACTTCTTTCTTTTTTCCTTTTTCCTTGTGTGTGCATGTGTGTGCGAGAGTGTTGTTTGAAATCTAAACGTCTTTTAATTAAAAAAAAAAAACCCTGGTACCAGATATTGGGGTAAATGCTGAAAGATCAGAGAGACAAAGGAACAAGCCACGACCACCACCTCTTACCTCACCAACACCTCAGCCTGAAAAAACTTCTAGTTCCTGTCTCCTCATCCTTATCTACCTTTCTCCGCCCAGCCATCACTTCCTGGGACTAAAGGCATGTGTGCTTCCTAAGCAAAGGCATGAGATCTCAATTGCTGGGATTAAAGGCATGTGACTCCCAAATATTGGGGTTAAATGTGTGTGCCACCACTGCCTGGCTCTGTTTCTCTCCTAGACTGAGTCAGTCTCATGTAGTCCAGGCTGGCTTTGAACTCACAGAGATCCAGATGGATCTCTGCCTCCCGAGTGCTAGGATTAAAGGTGTGTGCCACCACTGTCTGGCCTCTGTGTTTAATCTAGCGGCTGGCTTTGTCCTCTGATCTTCAGGCAGTTTATTAGGGTACACACTATATCACCACATGAGAGTGCATGTGGGTGTGTTCATGTGTGTCTCTGTGTGTGTGCATGTGGTGTGTTGTTAGAGATTGAACCCAGAGCCTTGCCAGGGCCTGTATTGCTAATGTATTAAGGCAAATAATTCTACCACTGAATTGCATCCCTGTCCTCCATTACCATTTCTTGTTTTCATATTTAAAAAAAGAAAAAAACATTTATGTATCTGAGTGTGTACTGTGCTAGGTGGGTACCCACGGGGGTCCTAAGAAGGTGTAGGATGCCCTAGAGCTGAGGTTACAGGCAGTTGTGAGCTATCTGAGGTGGGTTCTGGGTACTGTACTCCGGTCCTCTGGAGCAACAGAGGTAGTAACCACAGAGTACCCCTCCAGTCCTCTCGTTGTCGGGAAGCTACAATGACTTTACTCTAAAGTCTGGCCTTGAACTTGTGATTTTCCTGCCCCACCTTCCCCAATTACATGTCTGCACCACCTGCCAGCTTCCATCTATTTCTTTATAAATACCTTTCACTGGGCGGTGGTGGTGCACGCCTTTAATCCCAGCACTGGGGAGGCAGAGCCAGGCGGATCTCTGTGAGTTCGAGGCCAGCCTGGTCTACAGAGTGAGTTCCAGGAAAGGCGCAAAGCTACACAGGGGAACCCTGTCTCGAAAAAAAACCAAGGTGTGTGTGTGTGTGTGTGTGTGTGTGTGTGTGTGTGTGTACATACATATATTCATATATATATATGAATAAAATCTTTCAGGAAAAATAACTCTTTCTACTCGACTGAGTTGTGAAGTCTAGTAGAGGCAAAGTCACAACTAAAGAACAAACGTGAGTTACTTGGAAAACCGTGTAAGCGGCTGAAGAGATGGCTCAGTGGTTTAGAGCGCTTGCTGCTCTTGTGGAAGATCTGGCGTTGATGCTCAGCACCCACATGCTGGCTCACAATAATTATGTAACTCCAGTTTCACGGGGTCTGAGTATCTCTTCTGACCTCTGTGAGCCCCAGGCACACACACATACAGAGCCCATGCAAACGTACAGGTAAACATTTGTACACATAAAATAAATAAATATAAACTTTTTTTAAAAGAAAGGAAACAAATTCCTTAATGCTGTCCAATGGTGGGTCTTACCTGGTGGGTCTCACCTCATGGCCTTCTGTCTTCCTGATCCACCACTGGGAACACCGGAGGCTCCTTTCCTGGTTGCATTCTCTTCCTAATGATGCTAGTCAGCATCATGCCCACGGGGCTGAGGAGATGGCTCAGTGGCTAATGCATATGTGAGGACCATAGTTTGGATCCCCAGGACCCATGTCACCATAGGGTGTCACAACCTGCCTGTAATTCTATTCCTGGAAGGCAGACACAGGGGATCCCCAGAGCTGGCTGTCTAGCAAGATGAGTCTTATCAGGGAGTTCTGGATTTGATTGAGAGACCCTGCGTTGGTGGTTGGTGTTAATGAGGTTGACAATATGCCTGTGTGGGACTGTGAGGATCTGAAACGTCCAGGGCGAGGTGACTCCTGAGTTTTGATCATGAGCAGCAGGGTTTATTGCTGCTGTATTCAGGATCTGAGCGTGGCAGTGTGTAAGAAGTGCGAACAGAGTCTACCAGGTTTGTGACCCTTGCCTACCCCTTCCAGGCGGCAGTCACGGAGAAGCTCCTGGTCTGCGGACTCTCTCTATTATTTCACTTGACCGTCTCCAACATGCTGCCTGTGGAGTACAACATCGACGAGCATTTCCAAGCCACCGCCTCGTGGCCAGCCAAAGCCACCTATCTGTACATCTCTCTTTTGGCTGCCAGACCTAAGTACTATTTTGCATGGACCTTAGGTAAGTCGCATGTAGACTCGTCCCCGTGCTGAAGTGTGTCTTGTAGATCTCAGGCAGTGTCCTAGGGCTCTGGGTTTTGTTTTCCTGTGACTGTGCCTTATTGTAACCGCTGGCCTCAAACTACTGAGTGCAAGCAATCCCCCTGCTTCAGCCTTGCTAGTAGCCAAACCAACAAGCACCCCACTGCATCCAGCTCAAGAGTGCCCTCTTGAGGATATATGGTTAAAGACCAAGTAGAACAGTCAGTCATTTTGCATAAGAAACAAAACCCCCAAAGTGCATGAGCAAGGCCTGTTTTATTAGAAGATAAAAAAATCAATGGATAGTTGAGGTGATCGCAGGCACTTATCTCAGTGCCTGTTGTATGCGAGGCTGGGTGAGCCTGATTGAATACTGGCGTGCATGGCATAGTCCCTGTCTTCGGGGTCCCTGCGGTTTCGCATGATGTGATTGCACTCATCATTACGACCCAGATACGGTTTATTATGACCAGAACCTCACTAGTAGAGTGTGCCACACCACATCAGTTCATGAAAGGGTTCGTGGCACCCGCCGGGCGTTTGAGTGTTAGAGAAGAGCACTGTGCCTTTGCTAGTGAGGAGGCGTGGAAGAGCCTGGGCTGTGACCAGTGTGAGAGGGGTCTGGGGAGGAGAGTCTCTCAAGCCCTCCCCTGTACGGCTGCGCAAGCCTCAGGAGGCTCCCGGCGATGATGTCATGAACTTTATCCTCGAGATGTTTAGCGTTTTCATGTTGTCGCCCCGTGAATCTTCTTGAATGTAGCAACAGAGGCATGGTCTAAACAGGTCGTGACCCCGCCCACGTCTCAGAGGGTGGACCGACGTGGACTGGAGCCTGTTTTGTATGTCACAAGCCTCTTTATTCTTAAGACGGTGTCCTGTTTACTAAGTTGTTGTGATACTCAGTGAACATTTGGATATCTACAAAGAGCACACCGCAAAAAGGCTCAGTAGTAGTTGGTGCCTGGATTTGGCTGCTGCCTTTATTTTTTTTTATTATTATTACTATTTTTGCTGCCTTCATTTTATTATAGTGAAATGTAATTCAGAACTAGAGTCCATATTTTCAGACTTTCATGCAGAAATGCATCAGTAAAAGTGACTGCTAAAGTCACTAACAGGCTACTGTTAATTTAATGATAATAAAAGATAATATGACCTTGTGAGAATTTGATTGTTTTGAGACAGGATCTCCTTGTGCATCCTGGGTTGTCTCCCATCTCCAGACCCTTCCTCAGTCTCTGGGATGCTAGCAATGAGAAGCTTGCACTATTATGCCTGGCCTTGTGTGGGTTTAAACTTATATTTCCTTAGTACTATTTTTATACTAGCCAAATTTAAACACTGATACTAAATGAGATTCCTAAGATCCATGTATACCTGTCAAAATGCTGACTTTAATCCAAGGGAGGCTCTGATATTCCAAACCAATTTCATATTTTTATTTATTTTTTTTAATTGTTGTTGTTGATGTTGGTAAAATGGCTCCCTGGGTAAAGGCACTGGTTACTTGCCTGATAACCTGTGTTCAATCCCAGGGACTCACATGTTGGAAGGAGAGAAACAGCTCCTGGAAGCTGTCCTCTGACCTCTGACCTCCACACATGCTCTGTGGCATGTGAGTGCCTGCACACCTGCCCATATGCACATACAACACCCCC